TATTTATAGCCCTCTCCCCGAGATGTCCCCTGGCTAAGATATTGTTGGGGACTTTATTTCCTGTGCAAACTTAACGCCATTCACAGCCCTCCTGCTGATGATGAGAGAGCCTCTCTATAGTAGGTTTTATATGCTGATTTTTCCACATGGGACTCACTGGGGCATGTGCCTTTAAGCCAGTGTTGTCTTAACTGAGTCTTCTAGTCTCCTCGGATCAAATGCATTGCTGTTGTAACTCCCCTGATCTCGATAGCGTAACACCAGAGAGGGATTTGGCCCATCTTTGGCAGCTGGCTCATAAACACACAGCACGCAGGTGGATAGTTTTGGCAGATGTGGCTGAGAAATCCTCAGCAAAATCTCCGAGGCAGATGGGCTCAGAATGATTGATTTATTCCAGCAGAGGCCGGCCTCTCCTGAGATGCCATAACAGCAAAGTGCAGGGAAACCTCTGCCTTGTGCCCTCTGACTTTCATGTCAGAATAAATCAAGAGGTCAGCATGAGCTCTCTCCCTGTCCTTTGCGCCAATAACAGCGGTTATTACAAAACTCTGGTGGCCTGTTCTGAGAATTGCTGAGCAGCTGAAGTCAGCAGAAGCTACGGTTGCTCAGCACTTGGGAAAACTTGAACCCAACGGCTCCTGTCTTTGGTACTTATCTGGCCCCCATCACAGCCTTTAATGCATTTATCCTCAGAACACCCCTAAGAGGCAGGCCAGGCCTATTCTCCCCATTGTACAGATGGGGGAACTGAGGCCCAAAGAGACTTGCTCAAGACACACCGGAAGTCTGGGGCATGGGAGGGGATTGAACCCAGGCTAGTGCCTAACCACTGGACTGTCCTTCCCTGTGATGGAGAAGGAAGAATCATTGAATGAATCGTCTTCAATCCATTCTTGCTCTGGGATGAGTTCTGCCTTTAGAGTGAGTGGGACTTGTTGGGCCAGATCCTCAGAGGGTGTAAATCAATGTAGCGCTATTGACTTCTGGGGGTGGATCTGGCTCACTGTGTTTTGCAGGCTTCTCTGTGTGTTGTGGCTGTTACACTACAGGAGCCAAGTAACACCTGTGGGAGCGAATGCCTTTTGCAGTGGGAAGTAGACCTGAGAGCCCCCTCCTCCCCATGCAGGTCTAACCGCCTCTCTGAGGCGCACTAACTCTTGTCTTTGCATTCTATACAGTGCCCGTAGCAGTGCTACCAGGATACCCGGACACGCTGATTTCCACAGCGGACGGGTTTTTCCTTTTGCTATAGATCATTATGAGTTTGGAAGATGAAATCCTCATCGCTGCGTAGGTCAGAGGAGATTTCTCTCTGAGCTTGTATTTAAACACTACAGCTTGGCACATGCCCAGAACTGAATGGAAACCAGCAAGGAATACAGCTCTTCGAATAAGATCCTGTCCTCTATGATTAGCCACAAAGAGCAGTTCCTCCAGTACTGGGCATGAGCTGAAGCAGCTTCGTTTTACTGAAGCGAGGCTGTCCTTATTAAAACAACAGGTTCCTTTTTTATTTAACAATGCCCATTTCGCTCCCAAAGCTCTGCCTTCAAAATGTCCATGGGCTAGAAGGATGATGGTCCATGTGCATGTCAAGTGATGATCCAAAGCACATCCCAGGACAATCTGTTCACTCTTTGCATAGGGGTGTGATCTCTCCCGTTAATATCACCACTAAGTGTCCAGCCAAAGGACAGTGGACCCGTTAATCCTCTTCTGTTATTGTTTCCCCTTATCTCCCCTCTCTCTTCCTCAGCTTGTATCAACAGCAGTACCCCTGTTGGGCTTGCCTAGCACTAATCATGTAAACTGAAGCATGCCACTTGAACTGCGCTTCGTACGCAAGCAACTACCTCCCTGCAGGGCCGGGCTCTCCTCATGCACTCCTTGCAGTTTCAGTCCCCAACAGAGTAGTGCTTCGAGCAGCCTAATGTTATCTCACGTGTGGCTGATTTTCCTTGTTAGTTCTTGCAAAGTAGCAGGCCCCACAAACCCCGCTGAAGTGTCCCCTGTATCCGAAAGCTTCTTTAACGAGGAGAGAGGGAGATCGGGGCTGTTCACAAATGCAGACTGCCATGTAAATGCTAGGGTGACCAGATAGCAAATGTGAAAAATCGGGACAGGGGGTGGGAGGTAATAGGAGCCTATATAAGAAAAAGACCCAAAAATCGGGACTGTCCCTATAAAATTGGGACATCTGGTCACCCTAGTAAATGCTTTCTTGGGCGTGGCGTCGTAACAGTTTCTTAAATCAAATTAATCTTGCCCCAAAGGCAGCAGCAAAAAGCAGAAGGAGTGGGTCACAACCACACCCTTTTCCTTTATGGGAGAAGCTGCGTATGTATAAAAAAACCCCAACCCTTGTGCCTGGCAACAATCCAAGATGTCTAAATGTCAGAAAACAGTTCTATCCTAAGGGGGAGAAGAGGAAAGGGAAACCTAAAATAAAACCATGAAGTGAGGCAAAGATGGAGGAATTTCTTGTCCAGCTGACCCCTTGTGTACCGCCCCTCCGGGCCTGCCCAGGAGGCCTGCTTGTAAAGCCCGGCCCAGTGGGAGAGTGAGTAAAGGGAAGAGCTATACGTTAAGGTGAAGGGACCAGCAGAACAACACTCCTTTCCACACAGTCTGGGCCAGATTGTGGCAGTTAATTACTGCCCTGCCCTGGAGGGGCAGCATTGCATGCCCTCCCTCAGTAACCCCGCCGAGGTATTTTTGCCCACCACTTACTCCAGTGCACTAGGAGGGTTGTACCATTTTCCTCTTGTCAGGACGGTATGTAGCATCCCCATGGCTTGCGGAAGGGTCTGTTCTCTTGTGACAGCGGAGCGCTGTGATTTCAGAGCACACTCAGCTGAATGAAGATGGAGGCCTTTGTCTTGTTCTCAATTACACCGGTTTATAAAGTGGGGGTAACTCCACTGAAACCAGCGGGCCTGGTTCTCCACTGCCCTGCTCCTTGTGTTGTCATTTACCCCAGTGCTAAGTGCGTATAGGATGCTCCCAAACTGGGTCTCAGAGCTCCCTCTCACCAGTGCTAGAGTTTCAGCCTCATTTTGTACTACCATAAACAACTGCAGGCCATGGGGAGTCAGGCCCACTTGTAGTACACTGGGGTGAAACCACAATGAGTGAGAGGAGAATAGGGTCCCAATTGCCCTTAACCCCTCACTCCTTCTGGCTGATCCCAGGCACAGCTGCTGCTCTTGGTCTTGGCTTTGCACTCATGGCAACTAACCGGAATGGTTTCATGTTAAGCCCCAAATAAAACCTGGAGCTCAGAGCAAGAATCTATAATCACTTTGGAGAGCTGTGAATTATACCCACATAAGCCTTTGCTTCCAAGGAACTTGTCCTCAAGCCTTCTGCTGCTGCTACTGCATATGCACAAAGATGGATGAGGGCTAGCATATCCAGTAGGGCTATTGAAGACGTGGGGCATCTCATTAAATCCCTATTCACTTCTCCTTGTGGCGACCCTTCCCTATTCATTTCCTGGCTGCACATTGGTGTAGGTCCTGGTTGGTGATATATGGCTTCAGCAGCCTCCCAAAGGTCTTGTCTATACTTGAAATTAGCCCTGATTTCTACCATTGGTATTGCTGCACCCGTGCAAACCCCTAGTGGAGAACAGGGAAACTACAGGTGGATTTACTCCTTGAAATAGAATTAAGTGTACTGGTTCAAATCATGGCTTTGCCTGTCTACACTAAGGGTTTGTATTGGTGCAACAAAACTGGTGCCTGGCTGAAACTGGGGCTAAATCTAAGTGTAGTGTAGATGTAACACATTGATCAGTGCATTTTAAATGTCTCTGCCTGATCCACAACGGATGTGAGTCTGTTACAGTTCCCACCTACTGTGCCTGGTCTGTTAGCGCATGCTATAGATACTCATACTTTTATCTCCTGAGATTCCTGGTTCAGTCCCTGATATTGTCAGCCACGTTGGCAGCCATCACATAGACGAGGTCTTAGAAAGGCTGACTGGCTGCTGTGGGTGGTATTGTACCGTCCACAGGGCTGTTCGCCACTCCCGACGCGTGGCAGTAACTGCCACAATGTGTCCTGGATTTTGTGGGAAGCTGTAACATTCTGTGGATCCCATCCTTCTGCTGGCAATACAGGTAACAAGTAGCCCACCTCTTTATCCACTCTGCAGACGGAGGAACTGTTGACGCAACAATAATAATAAAGCACATAAATAGAAAGTGTGTGGTGCTGAGAGAGAGGCTGAGCTTTAGCAGCTGGGGTGAGGGCGTATTCTTAAATCCAAGATCTCTTCTAAAAAAAAAAAAAGCAGTGCTGCCGCTCCACGTTACACAACAGTAAGGCTCCAATTCTCTCAATGCTGCATCATGATTGTTAAACACAGAGGAATGCTTCATTATATGTAATTGAGGGGGGCCTGGATTGAAATTTGAAATTGGGAGGAGAGAACAAAGGTCTTAGGTCTACACTTCTGTTTAATGCATCTGGAGCTGTACTTGATGTGATGCTTAACAGAACCTGTGGTAACTGTTTTACAGTACTCTCTCAGCCAGAGCAATTCTACTAGGCTTGAGGGAGTGCAGATAAAATGGCTTAAAGATTTCCCTGCTAAAAGCGATAGCATCATCTTTTATGTTGCAGAAGACAGATTCAGTCGCGTGACATTTATTTGGCCATGGTGTACTTTGTGGATTTCACACCCAGGGACTACAGCCAACCTGATGATGTCACACACAGACGAATAAAAAAGCACACAGAAAGCCAATGTTGTTTCTCTTTTGCAGACCAGATGAGTTTTGTTTTGTGTTCCTCAGTCCCAGTTTGCTCTCCTTTTCTCTTTAACTGCAAGTAGTTTATGAGGATACGACACAATTTAAACAAAGCATCCAATGGACAAAATGTTCGCAGAGTGATAGCACAAGTGTTTTGATACAAGGATGGTAGCAGAGAACTCTAACCCTTGCTAACCAAGATATTTTCTTTTTATTCTTATATTGGTTTTAGGTTATTTGGATTCCAAATTGACTGGCCATGAGTGCAATTGACTTGACTTCCATCCTCGATCTTCTGGACGTGGGAAATTTCTCTGATAGCAACTGGACGTGCAACAATGGAGACTGCATCATTGTGGACACACTCTCATGCCCTAGCACACTTAATAAAAGTGTCTTACTGTACACCCTCTCTATCTTCTACATCTTTATCTTTGTGATAGGGCTGGTGGCCAACTCGGTGGTTGTCTGGGTCAATCTCCAGGCCAAAGCAACTGGTTATGAAACCCACCTCTACATCTTCAATCTAGCCATCGCCGACCTGTGCGTTGTCATCACCCTTCCAGTCTGGGTGGTCTCCCTTGTCCAGCATAACCAATGGCACATGGGAGAAATCACATGCAAGATCACTCACCTTATATTTTCCATCAACTTGTTTGGGAGCATCTTCTTCCTGGCATGTATGAGTGTGGACCGCTACCTCTCAGTTGCCTACTTCACCAATTCCAGTAACTGCAAGAAGAAGATCATCCGACGCTTCATCTGCATCTTTGTGTGGCTTCTCGCCTTCTGTGTCTCTCTCCCAGACACCTATTACCTGAAGACCGTCTCTTCAAACAATGAAACTTACTGCCGCCCTCTCTATCCAGAGGAGAGCTTCAAAGAGTGGCTGGTTGGCATGGAGCTCATCTCTGTTGTGTTGGGCTTTGCCATTCCTTTCCCCATCATTGCTCTTTTTTATTTTCTCCTTGCAAGGACCATCTCTGCCTCCAGTGACCAAGAAAGGAAGAGCAATGGGAAGATCATTTTCTCTTACGTTGTTGTGTTTCTTGTCTGCTGGCTGCCCTACCACGTGGTCGTCCTGCTCGACATCTTCTCGGTCCTTCATTTTATACCCTTCAGCTGTCAAATGGAGAACTTTCTGTATGCGGCTCTTCACATCACCCAGTGTTTCTCCCTCATCCATTGCTGCGTCAACCCCATACTCTACAGCTTCATCAACCGAAATTACAGATACGAGCTCATGAAAGCCTTTATTTTCAAGTACTCGGCCAAAACAGGCCTCACCAAACTTATTGATGCTTCCAGAGTATCCGAAGCTGAGTACTCTGCTCTGGAGCAAAATGCCAAATGATTATCACTCCCTAAGGACTCCTCTTGGACCTTTTCATATGTGTCTCTGATGGGGCGTGAATTCACAGCGTGGAAGAGAAATACAGAACCATAATTTAAATTTAGAGTTTGGAGCAAACCAAAATCATGCATTTATTTTAACGTGTTTTGTTTTATCTACTGCTAGCTAATCCAGACTTTCTGGAACGAGACCAGGGTGCAAATTCTATGCAAATGGGGGAGAATTTGTAGTGAACAAAGCCATTGTGTACCACGGATATCACGTCTTCAGGATAGGCTTGTTTCCCCATGTGTAAAGGAGACCCTCTCTTGGTTTCATTGTATATGTGTTATATAGATATAGATATATATAGCGTGTTGTATTTAAAAACCCAAGACTTTATTTTCTGGCTGTTGGTGTACTTTATACAAATGTCTTTGAAAGTTGAAATATATTTTTATCATGTATTTGAAGTATATTGCTGATAATTGTATCCAGAGTGCTGTAGTCTGAATGTTAGCTTGTCATTCATTTTGACTATAATTGGACTAAGGATGACATGAATAGCTGTCTGGAGACGATGTATATTATGTGTGTGTCTACTTTGGCTGGCACATTTTATTTACAATAGCTTTATGTTATGGTGTATACCTATATGTATGGAAATAAGCTGAATGTACAGTACTGTGATATAGTTTCAAGTATCAGAGGGGTAGCTGTGTTAGTCTGGATCTGTAAAAAGCGACAGAGTCCTGTGGCACCTTATAGTCTAACAGATGTATTGGCACATAAGCTTTCGTGGGTGAATACCCACTTTGTGCGTCTGACGAAATGGGTATTCACCCACGAAAGCTTATGCTCCAATACGTCTATTAGTCTATAAGGTGCCATAGGACTCTTTGTGATATAGTTTGACATCATATTAACCTGACTCTTACATTACTGTTAATTTTAACTCCTATTTCTGTGTTTCACCAGGCAGTATCCTTATGCACAAAATGAATGACCTTATTTCCAAGAGTCCTCTCTATTTGTAAGTTATTTTTTTTAAAATAAAGATATGGAAAAATACACAACAGTGGTTTAACTTCTTTTCTTTTTTTCTTTTTTTTTCAACTAACCCTTTTACTTTCTTTGATGCAGACCTGTCACCTCTATATACACCTCTACCCCGATATAACGTGACCCGATATAACACGAATTCTGATATAACGCGGTAAAGCAGTGCTCCGGGGGGGCGGGGCTGTGCACTCCGGCGGATCAAAGCAAGTTCGATATAACGCGGTTTCACCTATAACGCGGTAAGATTTTTTTGGCTCCCGAGGACAGCGTTATATCGAGGTAGAGGTATATATGTGTATGTGTGTATATATATATCTATATAGATACATATATAATATATTTCGTATGCTAATGGCCGACAGAAACAATTTAAAGAGGAATGTCAAATGGGATTTGCTAAGGGGGAACAGCAGTGGTGTGGATGGGAGTGGGCTTTTGAACAATCTATTTAGCAGATGAGTCAGCTTTTAAGGTAAAGACAGGATCCTGAGATTGAATACACATACAAAACAAAACTTGGAGAGTGTAATAAAGCAATAAGATTTGACATAAACTAGGCTTAGTCCCTTGCTATTTCATTGCTCTAGAATTCAGAGGTTTGCAAGCTTCCTTCTGACAGTCCAACTATTTTTAACTCACTTTATGGCTTCCTTTATTATTATTATTTGTATCACCATAGTACCTAAGAGGCCTAGTCATGTACCGGTACCCCATTGTGCTAGGGGCTGTACAAACAGAACAAAAAGGCGCTCCTTGCCCCAACCAGCTTCCAATGTAAGTACTTGCAACATCAAATTTGCAAACCATTGGGCCAAAGTCAGCCAACCAAGGAGAGCCACTGAAGCTCATGGCATCACAACGTTTCTTTACTCCTTTGCCAGGTAATATACGTTCATATGGGTAACCTCTTTCTGTGCTGACTGGCTTACTTTCATTGTTTTGCATACCTCTTTAATGATGGTGCTTTGGCAGTTATTTCCCAGTCAAGGTTGCTGTTGAGTTTCCATTACAAACTTAATTTTGGCTCCCCGTCAAAAAAAAAAAAAATCAATTTTGAAATTGGTAGGTTGGGGGTTTCCTACAAAATTTGGATATGGCATTCCTGAATCAGATGCCCTAAAAACTGTCTATCAGGGTTCAAAAGTCTTCTGTCCCTTTCCCCACACTTTCCTTAGGCCTGTTCTGTGCTGCAAAACTTTACAGGTTAAAAGTTGCCTTATTTCAGCACAGCCTTACATGCAGCCATACTCAAAAGCGAGACCTCAAAACCCTGATTTTTCTGTCAGTCAAACTAAACCGCCTCCCCAAAGGACAGAAGTCCTCTACTGCCACTCGTTCACCAGGACAGTGCCAGAGTGGACGCTGCATTACCGTTACTGATTCCAACAGTCCTCCTGGAGCAATCCCACAATGCCCCTGTCCCTGCAGTGACAACTGCTCTGGTCACAATTTTGAATCTGGTCAAACTTTGTAGTGAAAAATATGGCCTTAGTTTCCTTTTGCAAGAAAAAACAAAACAGAAACCAGGAGATAATTAAGTCTTAGTTTACTAGATTCTCTTAGGAAGGACTTGTCTACTTGGGAAAGTTCGACCAGTTATATCAATATAGTGAAACCAATTTAGTAACCAATGTATAACTCTCCATGGGGACACTTTCTTATTCCAGCATAAGAATGTCTTTTAACAGTGTAGATTAGACCGTTTCCAATAATACATAAACTAAACAGGAAAAAGGCACACATACTGGAATAAGAATGTCCACCTGGGGCGTTATGCCTGTATCCGTTTAAATTTACACCTTAGCTTAAACTTTCCTCTCTAGACAAGAATACAATACCTGGGACCAAAATTGAATCAAATTAAAGTCTAATTTCAAACGCTGGCAGTTTTTGCAATTTGTAACATTTCTCTGGATCGTGAGTTCTGGGGAGAATTGTGTCAAAGTTCAAAATTGCTGGAGCCGATTTTTTAGAATAAACAGATAAGCAAATTTCAGGCCCTCTTTCTTTGCAGAGATGAATCTCAGAAAATGATTAGGCAGGGTGAGGCATGCAATGGGCAGGTGGAGCATAGACCAAGGTTCATTCCTTCCCTTCAGCATTCCCGTCAGAAAGCATCTGTGTGAAGAGGGGAGGGGAGGAGAGTACACTCCCAGGCCCATGAGCAGTGCCAGTGAAATCAAACAGAGTCGTTCAGAACTTGGTGTTTAACTATACTTGGATGACTTCATACAGGAAGAATGTGACCTGCATTAAAAGTGCCATTGATGGGGTAGGAATACCTGTATAGATGAATTAAATCTAATTATAGTCCCATTTACCTTCCAAGCTTCACACACCATCTCCCCTAAGTGCCGCATTTTGTATTAGGGTCTGAATGAACAGGAAGATACTGACAATCGCCTGCTGTGAGCGAGCTCCGGACCTCGCCCAAGATGGCTCCCAGACCTTGTCCGTCCCAGCATATGGATGGAAGAAGTGACGAATGGCCTGGTAGGCTTGAATGAAAGGGAGGCTAAGCCCTTCCACTTTTTGTCTGCTCTGTTGGGGGAGATTCCAGCACAGAGGTGGAACACACGTGTTGCTCCCCTCATGCACCATTTTAAGGTTGCCTGTGACAGGGCGCCATCAGCAGCACCCTGACCGCCGACATGGCTGCCGCCTGGAGAAAGCTGCAGGTCTAGCCCCGGGTGGGGGATTGTGAGCAGCCGGGTGACGGTCACGGGGCTAACAAGGTAATTGGGGGAGAATATAAGGAGAGGAAAGAAGCAGGGGCAGCTAAAGAGGGAGCTCAAGAGGAGTGTAGAGGATGGGCCTGCGCTGGGGAGTAAGAGCTACAGGGAAGCCGGTCCTTGCTACAAGCCTGTGTTGCATGTTAGTGTGAGGTAATAAATGCACCCCTTGGTGGCGGATAGATGGCCTGGTGTGTGTTTGTGACTGTGAGACCCTCTGAACTGGCCCAGCCAGGGGGGCTCACCTGGTAACGATGGGGCCGCCCTGGGACACTGCTGTAATTCGGTGTCACTGCAGTATAGCCTGTAGGTTTCTTTGCATGTCCTCCAGAGGCACATGTGAGTCTACTGTTTGGCGTCTCAGCTCAAGGACAGGTGGTGGCCGGTATTAATTGAAGTGCTGACAGTGCTGTACAGACTGCTCCCTGTCCTAAGGAGCCTACGGTATAAGGACTATATGTTGCCTTCGGCAGCCAGAAGCATGACGGAAGGATGGTGGCGGAGCTGCCCTTAAGTAGAGGGTCCCCCCTCAATCAAGAGAAATTCAGCTGTGATTCCTTGTGGGGGCTTCCGTGGGATGGACTACAGAATGGCAGCTCCACCTTTCTTGGAGAAGGTGCCCTGTATATTCCCCTGCGCGCCTGGCCAGCTTCGGTGCCCAGTGTCAGGGGGCAGGTGGGTCACGTCCCTAACCCTTTTACGCACCATAGAGGCACTAGCAGGGAGCAAAGCTTGTGCTTTCCAGCCACATGTTGACTGGTCTGCATGCAGAGGTGCAAGGCAGAGAGGTTTGTGCCTCGCACAGCGGATGACGCCAATCTGGGCTTCAGTTGGACATCCCGCAGAATGGGATGACAGCAAATGAAAAGGCTGGAGGGGTGGTCATGGGACCGGGGGGCGTGGAATATCACAAAGGGGAAAGATCGTAAGATACAGCTGTTCTTACATAGGCTGCATTCGGAACTTTTTAAATGGAGAAATCAAACAATTTCAGGGAAATGTTTTGATATTGATGAAAAAAGAAAACGGGGCAAAAAATGCCAACCTGCTGTACTCACGGGTGTCCACGTGGAGTAATTCCACCACCTGGATTGACTCTGTTGTTGCAAAGCAGGACTGGAGTGCTTTGAATGCTGGGAAAAGGTGAGTTTATCAGGACCACACAAGCAACTGAAAGTAGGGGGATAGCCGGGAACAGGAATGTCTCCTAGGGAGACCGACCCCATTAAGGGAAAAAGGGGCCAGGCCTGCCAGTGTCCTAGTTAGCTGCCTCCCAGCCTGGACTCATGGAGTTGGGTGTTAGTCTGATGAACAGATGGACCTGTTAGAAAGGGCTGAGAGCAGGTTAGGTGCCTGTGGGAGGCCCTGAGATAGGCTCTACAAGAAGCAGCCAGTTTCTGGGAGGGGAAGCAAAGGGAACCTGCTAGGAAAAGGGGCCTTCAAGGAGAAAGCGCTAGGAGGCAGAGCTCTGCTAGGAGAGCAAGGAAGGGCTCCACAGGGCCAGGGAGGAGGGATGACGAGCCGGGGACTTCCAGGAGTGGCAGACTGTGAGAGTGACTCCAGGGTCAGCAGCGTGGAAGTCACTGCTCTGTAACAGGGCAGGGAAAGACTTTGAGGTAGCCCAGAAGGGGCTGAGAACTGAGCCCAGGAAGCAGGCTGAAGAGGGGCAGAAGAACCGTTTGTTTGGACTTCTAGCTGGACTCTTGTTATCCCGGAAGGGGTTAGG